TTGCAAAACACCAAATTTTACATGCTTTAGAATGGTAATCCTTGCGAAAATCCTAGTCCCACTTTTTAAAAAATAAACTAAGTACGACTGTCATAATCTTATTTACATAACTATAATTTAGTTCACATGCGTTTGAACTCTCCTGAGTTAGGATCTCAGTATTTCACCGTACTCAGGATGAGCTATCAAAATAATTATAAAGCGACGCTGAACATGTAAACCGATTTCAAAACAAGTGTCAGTTACTTCTTATTCTTTTTTTTAGGTGTACACAATTTATTAGTCTGACAAAGAGCAAAGAAAACATCAACACCTGTGCTATTATAAATTATGAAATCAAAAGGACATAGGAACTCTAAGACCACATGCACAAATTCCTGTTGATCCGTACTGGAGTTTTCGAGATATTTGTTGAAGCACAATTTTGGGAACGGACTATGGTCATTGTGCTACCTCAGTTTCCGTTTCGATCATTGTCACATAATACAACTCGAGTTTATCTATCATTGATTTGAACGTCTACATATCAAGTAGCAACAGAATAAAAAAAAAAACGCCAGTGATAATCCTAACCAACATCATATTTTAAAATCAATACTATTTTCTTTTGAGCATTGCTTCTTTTTATTTAAAAGAAAGAAAAAAAAAAAAGTAAACATTCCCTTTTCACGCGTTCAGGCGCACCAGGCACCAATCGGCACTAGGTGAGTAATGTAGTCAGCATTACGCCGGCCGTCTTTACTTCCCCATGACATATATCCTGGTACCCATTATAGGCTGAATAATGTGGTCAGCATTACGCCGGCCGTCTTCACTTCCCAAGGACATATATCCTGGTACCCATTTAAGGCTGGGTCGACCTGCGACGACCCATACCATGTTAGAGATCCACACAGCCAGCAGTGGTTTTTGATCGCGGTACTTTGGAATTACGAGTCGGACTCGCAACGCCTAAACCACGGACACCTCATTCTTGTTATTTAATATTGCTAAATGCTTAGAAGATTCTTTCATTTCTTTCTCAGATCCGGTTTTGAAAACAAGCAGACATAATTCACAGTAAGATGTGGCGCCAATTTGTCATCCCTATAATTTTGCTGGCGAACTGTCTAGCAGACAGAAATAACACCACGCCCGGTCATATAACAGACAATGTTGCTGATGAAGTCACTCTAGTATATGCTAAGTTAAGACAAGATATACTTCACCGACCTGCAGCCGTTCACCGGATACCGCCTTGTATTGAATCGCACTTCCAGGAGCGATATGTGCTGGAGATGGCCAACCTAATTGTGGACGTGCATAAGTTTGACGAGATCAACCAGGTAGGGTTATCATTCAATTATATTACTAAGCGGATGTAAAGTACATGAGACAGGAATTGTAAATAGTGTAATATGTCGTTGGCAAAGCTATGAGGTACGTGTTTTCTGCGATGGCTACTGATGGCTACAAGTCGCTCTGCAGAAAGAGACATACAGACAGACTGACGGACGTACAGAGGAACGGACGGACGGACGAACCGACCGAGTGACCAACAGCCAGCCAGACAGACCGACCGACCGACCGACCGACCGACCGACCGACCGACCGACCCACCCACCGACAGACAGACAGACAGACAGACAGACAGACAGACAGACAGACAGACAGACAGACAGACAGACAGACAGACAGACAGACAGACAGACAGACAGACAGACAGACAGACAGACAGACAGACAGACAGACAGACAGACAGACAGACAGACAGACAGATAGATAGATAGATAGATAGATGGATGGATGGATGGATGGATGGATGGACGGACGGACGGACGGACGGACGGACGGACGGACGGACGGACGGACGGACGGACGGACGGACGGACGGACGGACGGACGGACGGACGGACGGACGGACGGACGGACGGACGGACAGACAGACAGACAGACAGACAGACAGACAGACAGACAGACAGACAGATAGACAGATAGATAGATAGATAGATAGATAGATAGATAGATAGATAGATAGATAGATAGATAGATAGATAGATAGATAGATAGATAGATAGATAGATAGATAGATAGATAGATAGATAGATAGATAGATAGATAGATAGATAGATAGATAGATAGATAGATAGATAGATAGATAGATAGATAGATAGATAGATAGATAGATAGATAGATAGATAGCTATATACGCCTTCAAAAAATATTGTGTTGCATTACATTTTTTATATGGATATACATGTTTAATATAGAAACGACGTCCTTGATATTATGTTCGACTGGATAAATGTTCGAATTATGAATTTTTTTTTTTTAAAGTAATAGTGGGGCAGAGGTTGAAAAAGGGGGAGGGGGGGGGGGGGGGGGATTTTTTGACCTGAAATTTCATAGCAATAGTTTGTATGTCTGTTTCAGAAATGTTATTTTTCTATCGTTGTGCTTGACATAATTTAAGACGTCCGAATGTGGGTTGCAGTTTTTTGTTATTCGAAGCCACACCCTGGCTCTTGCCGGGGACCCTAAATATTACAGGGCCTTAATTATGAGCTAACGGCTGAAAGGGGTTTCTGGGACCTCTCCAAGGGTGATCTCCATCCGCATGGTGGCAATTTGTGTCACTGGTGTTTATCGCTTGTGTGATGTCCTGGTGGGGTACAAAGATATATATATATATATATATATATATATATATATATATATATATATATATAGGCAAGCAGACAGATAGCAGACAAGCAGACAATATATATATTTATATAAATAGAGTAAGAGAGGGAGAGAGAGAGAGAGAGAGAGAGAGAGAGAGAGAGAGAGAGAGAGAGAGAGTTTATTCATTACTAATATTTTTTTTTATAGGTCTCAGTAAACGGTTAATAAAACATGTAAAGGACATAAACAGTTTAAAAAATTGTATATAGGAAATAGAAAACTACGTAAAGTTTTACTGGTGAATGATGAGAACACAATGGACGTATGAAAAGGGTAGAACTGATGACCGAAAATAATTCAACTCACACACACTAAAAGAAACTCAGTCTCCCCCCCCCCCCCCCTTTCTCTCCCCTTTCATCGGAAGAAGACGACCTACATTCTTTGGTCTTATCGTGAAACAGAATCAGCCAGCGAGCTTATAAAAATGAGAGAGTTGAAGAAATGACCATATATTCCTTGAAACTTAACGGAGTTAATTAATAGTCAAGTTCCTACTTGAACCAAGGAAAACACGCGCCCTAAAAAGGTCACGCTTGCCTCATGGGAGAAAAGACACTGAGAGACGACACTGGGCAATTAGCCCCCCAAGATAAGGAAGTGTTTAGATAAGTGTTGGAGAAAGATCAACTGGCTTTGAATTAAGGACTACGTTGCTTTCTGATCGCTTTGAAAGATCAAAATTGACGGGGAACATTCATCGACATCTGACACTTTAAGAGGACCTTGATTGACCTCGTCGCCGGACGAGACAGTATTTGTGTCTATCTCGTTTGATCGCATCAACACTTCAGGAATCCTTTCCATTGCTCTTTGTGGCCGACACTGCTACGCCATTTTAAATGGCGCACACATAACCTAGTCACAGTTATAACCTAGAGTTCCCTTTCTGGGATGCTGGTTGAACGTGACCATTTAAAAAAAATATAGGAAAGCAACGGAACGAAGCCGACCAATAACTCCATTTTTGGTTAGGAGAAATGGGAAATATAAAGAGGGGAGGGGGGGGGGGTATAAGTAGTGGTATATAAGGTGCGAAAGTTAGGAACTCGGGCAGACCAGGCTGGAGGTCGCAACCTGAGACCTAAGCATGCCCAGGAAGGCACTAGGGTCACGCCACACATGGTCGCTGAAGAGAGCTCTGACTCCCTGGAGGGTCAGTGCCGAGGACCGCTGGTATACGTCAGTATCATCAGTATTTAGATGGCTATTAGAACAAACAGGACTAGATTGATACTAGATTGTTAGCCAAGATGAAATGTACCACGAGTCGTATTCAGTTTGTAGATAAAATGGCTTTGCATTGCTCGCCACCAGGAGCCCTGAAAAGGACTCATGCAGTGTTGATACGATCAAGAGAGAGACCAGAATACTGTCCTAGGTGACGACGAAGCAGTAAACCAGCCAGCCAATTGGCCACCTGGCTGCAAATGTACGCAAGGGACTGTTAGGTTATCATTATACATTAGACGTTACTGAAGACGAAATGAAGAGTAACCAAAATATGAAAAGAACGTTGAATAATAATTATGCTGTGTTTGAAGAAGTAGGTCATTTACAGCATATGTTAATGAACTGTGTTATTTCGAGAATATTGTCGTGAAGAAGTATGGAATTTCCAGCACATGTAGAACTTTGTTGACGTCAAATAAATATGTCAAATTGATACAAGTGAAAATATAAAAAAAAAAAAGGACTGGTATTTCTGTTTAAACAGGTATTTGATTTTAAGTATCTTGGAACAACTTTCAATGAAGATAGTAAATTGGACGAAGACATTGACATCCGGTACAGTAAAGCAGGCCAAGTATTGGAACAGCTAAAAATACTGTAAGATGTATAGCTGTAGACGAGTACGCAAGTGCGAACGGTTATCGTTTTTAATCAGTTAATCACTGATCAGTCAGTCAGTTACTAGGTAATCAGTCAATTGAAAATGTGCATCGCTGTTTCTTGTGGGACACAGAACTGAAACATAATGCAGTCTCAGCCAAGCCAGTAGCAAACACTTGCAATAAATGCATCTAGAGCAGGCGTAAGTGTGTCCTAAGAGCAACGACGCACATAATAACTAACAAATGGATGGGTGGATAAATGAATGACTGAATGAATGAATGTGTCAGTCAGTCAGTTCACATTGCAATTATTTTTCCCCTCAGGTAATGACGCTTCAATTCTACTACGGGATAACATGGTATCACAAAGCACTATCATGGAATCCAGCAGACTACAGCAACATCACTAATATATTTGTTTCCAGTTCTGACATTTGGACCCCAAATATCGAAGTCAACATGGGCCTTGAAAGATCCACAACTGTCGACTTTAGTGGAGATTTGCAGCTTGCAGCAAATGGCGCCGTCACATTCATGAGACTGCGACTCGTATCGCTGTCCTGCGATATTGATTTCTATAATTATCCCTTTGACAGCCAGACCTGTTCCGTTGGATTTTACCCTCACGGACCTCCAGAAGCAGATCCTGTATTTAATGAAAACAATTTTGATTTGAATAAGTTTTATACTGTTCATAAAGAGTGGCTGATTACAAGTAAAAGAAATTTTATTAACAATTTGAATGATAAAATCACTAACATAAACGTAGCAGTTCCAACTCATAGTATAACGATGAACAGAAAGCCACTGTATTACGTCATTACCATCATCTTCCCTATGGTTGTAACATCAGTGATGATTCCTCTAGTGTTCATGATACCTACTCAGACCGGAGAGAAGATATCTTATCTTATCGCTCTCTTCACCTCAACAGCCATTTTTCTCAACTTTATAAGGTTACGTTTGAAATCGCTATTTTCGCTCTGCTTGTACTATTGTATCCGGTATTATTTAACCTGTTTAATGTAAACTTTTTCTGTCCCATAATGTGTGTACTTGAGATAATAATCTTGGGTTAAAATCATACAATTATCAGACATAATGAGTTGTAGAGTAGGAATTTGATTGCTGTGGATTAATGTAAAGGAAGAAAACAACAGAAGAAGCTGTATGAATGGATGGAAAAATGAATGAATGAATAAATGAATGAATGAATGAATGAATGAATGAATTGACATTACAGCACTCGGACTATTCCCCTCACGTCCTCCAACCTCTTTTTCAGTGACCAACGAGACATGCTAAAAGTATCAGTTGCAACCTGATCTAAAGTCAGCCTCTTTTTTTCCCTTCAATACTGTATATCTTCCAGAACCTCTCTCTATACACCGCTTGGCGAATTTCAGTTTATGGATTCCCTGTCTCCTCTTTTGCACTGTCCATTTGATCCCATAGAGCCTTCACCATATCCGCTTAATAATAAAGTAGTTCAACGCCCAGAAGCAGCTAATCTATCAACCTGCTCGTTACTTCGCACACCTGAATATCCTGGACAGAAAATCCATACTTTTACTGTGTAAATAGTATCAACTGAGGTGGGCTACTCCTTTCGGCTGATCAGCCTGTGCTGTTTCCAGAACATACCCATGGTTCTGTCTGCCCCAATCTTATTTACGAACTGCTTCCATGTCCCTGTTTTAGCATTTGCGGCACACAATTTAAACTCGGCAAACTAGGATCTTTTTGCATCTTCTGCGGCTCTCATCTCCACTTTCGGAAAAAGAGGCAACCTTTGTACTCATGCCATTCTTTCAATGCCAGCGTTATTGTCATAGGCAGCATGCTGTTGTGGGACATCGGCTGCATTCTCTCGTGGGACGTAGGCTAAGGCTCCGGCGTAGGCAATTTGAGTTAGTGCCAGCTCTACATGTTTTGGGACCGGAAAAAGCGCTTGCATCGTGGAATATAGAACATACGATATCGCGAGCCGCTGACACAACGCGTTACAAACACCCTCTATAATAATCTGATTTATACAATAATTTAACAATCCTGCCTGCATTCTGGCAATAAAGAACTCAAGTCATTTTATTAAATTAGAGATCAAGTTAACAGGTTGTATCTGTTTTTCCTGCAGCGATGTGATGCCTCGATGTCTGTCAAATATGCCCTACCTGGCAGTGCTGCTAGTTGAAGTCCTTGTGGAGAGTTTTGTGGCCATGCTGATAGCACTTCTGATTGTGAACATACATGCCAGAGAGGAACTGGTAAGTCATTGACTGATTGACTGACTTTCTATCCCACTAGGACATCACACAAGCGATAAACACCCGATGACACAAAGTGCCACCATGCGGATGAGGATCACCGTGGAGAGGTCCCAGAAACCGCGTTTAGACAATTGGCCATATCGATGGCCAGCCTATATTGCGGCCCCTGGCAAAAGCCAGAGTAGGGCTTCAAATAACAAAAAATTACTTCCTAAAAAGGACGTAAGAAAGTATACGGTAAAAAAACATCAATTAAAAACGAAAATATGCATACAATAAACTACAAACCCTTTTTGTATTTCATGTGTTTATTTTAAATGAAGTGTTAGCTCCTCTGAAACCATGACCACTACATAGTTACCATTATCGCTGCAATCTTAAATTTAACAGTCACTTTGTTGGTCAGCTTTATGGGTATTTCCCATATTTATTGCAACTATCAGTAAAAGTAAACTTACGCTGGAGTTACATTCCTTCCATTTTTTCCCGTTTACTTCCTTTAAAATTGTAATTATATTATATTTCGCTTACATATTACTTGAAATCACACAACCTGTTGTGTCTGAGACAATACGTTTGCCTGTCTCCCAAATTATTAAATACTGTGTTAGTATTGCAGGAGATGGCTCGGGTGCACTTAGCGGATTTACTAAAGATATAGCAGAGGTGGAGGCAATGATGAAGTAGAAGGCTGGTTATTAAAATATCTAGTTTTCATTAGATCCTCTTTTCCACTAAGCCTACACATAGGGCAGCAATGGAGATCAAGATGAGGTAGAGAGCATGAGAATAAGACTTTCTTTCGCAATCTTGGGTGAAGCTGGTCAATGAAATCAAGTTAGATTACAAAAGTTTCAGAACCACTAAACACTTTGAACGAAAGTTAAAAGCTATAGCAAACAAATGCCTATAGAAAGGATTAAATTAAATGTGATGAATTTGCAAAAGACGAAGATATTAAGACAAAGTACTACAAACATTCGCTAGTTCCACAGCTACATGCAAAAGAAGATGTAACTTTATTAGGAACATCATGAAGAGAAGCAGACAGATAATAACCAAACAGATACTTAAATATGAAATAGCTAAAATGAGGAAACAAGTACGTCTATGAGACGACGTAAGACAAACTTGGCTGAGAAAGGTCATAGGTGGTGGACTGCATTACACCCGTGATAAGTCTTGGCTGCACAGGGTAGAACTAAACGGTCGTGACTAAACAGTGAGCGCTGTGTGGGGTATAACGGGACGACAGGTGATGACGAAAAGGAATTAAAAAAAAAGTATACGATTAAAATAAAGAATAAGTACAGTAAACATAGTTTTGGCTAGGCGCAGAGGCGTCGAAGGAGGCATGGTGTAGCAGCTTATTCGCTTGCCGGTTGGCACTGTAGTTGTGTGTTCCAGGTGCTGGACACCCAGAAATCATTAAAATATTAACCTGCATTGGGAATTCTCTGCAGAATAAACGCGGCTTAAGTAATTTTGGCAACCTGGCAAATTGAGTCTGGACTGGTTTATATAAACAAAAAGTGAAATAAACCACGCCCTTTCACGTTTTGTGGCTGGTATGTATATGGGACAATCCTTAAATTTCTTTACACTCAGCGGCACTCCATAAGTAAAATGGCTATTATAACTTCAGTCGTTTATACGAGGTCAAAAGTTTTAGACTGGTTCAAATTGGGAGCCCCACTGTTTAAAAAAATATGCTCTCGCTACATTTTAAAGTGATGATCACCAAAGCGACGGAAACGGCTCAAGCCACTGAAAAACTGCGACGCCTAATAATTTATGCATTGCGACACAATTGTTCTTATCTTCTCCAGTCTTGGAGATATAATAACAGATGGTGTTAGAAGTGAAATAAAAATACGAATGGCCAAAAATATGTTCAACAGAATGCCACAGTTACTGACATCCTCTTATAGTCCATACTGTGACTATCCACAAACTTTTGTCTCGTGTACTTTCAATCAGTTCTGCCACACATGTTTATTTTCCATACTATGATGTTAAACAGTCCAGCAACTTCTCTCTTTGTTCCCCTCAGCCCCCAGCACCCTTTTCTAACTTTCGAATGTCTAGATGTGCTCTAGTTTTCTTCTTTCCGGACACTACTAAAGAATGTGGATTGTCTCCTTCTTATGTCTGCAGTCAGGTCTCTTACTGAGTCTGTTTCTTTTAAGACAACTCCATTGCCTATTGCCACTGACGTCTAAAGAAATAACTATCAAAGTAAGAAATAAGAACTGTGAAATATTGTATATGTTCAACCCTGCTGTATGATACAGCGACAATGACAATACACAAACAATTAGACACTTTTGTTGAGTCTATGAAATGCCGATATATATATATCATCAAGAGTCTGACGAACAGAGGTCTGAGAGCGTAAAGATAAGAGTGTTTTGTAGGTTCATTAACACAAAAATTCATGATGGAGATGTCACCAGATTGGTTGATTGATATAACCGCTCTTTAATTTCACAGCTGGTATTATATTAATATATTATTGTCTACGAAGTTATTATTTTAAGTAAGTAACATATGTTTGGGTCATGGAATTTGAAACAATAACACTAATTTAAGTTTTAAAAAAATGGGTTGAATTATTTAATAAAATATTTGACAAAAAGTCAGTGAAACTTTATCATTTCAGGTAAAATTAACAAACTAGTAAGTAAGTAAATTTCACCCCACCAGGACATCACACAGAGCGATAAACACCTGGTGAAACAAAGTACCACCATGCGGATGAGGATCACCCGTGGAGAGGTCCCAGAAACCGCGTTCAATGGTTACATTATGTCCCCCGGCAAAAGCTGGGTTGGGGCTATAAAAAAAAAAAAAAAAATCTCCTCCCACATGGGGACGACAATTACAAATCAACAAACATGTGTTGCACTGTTTAGTACTGAATCAGTTAATCTTTTGAAATACGTTAGGCTATCTTCACGGTACTCTGAACACGTCCATAAGAGCTCAGATTCACACTCCAACAGATAAATCGACGTTTAACAGCGCCAGTCCTCTGCTGGTTAACAAGACTTCTTGTTCGTCTGGTGTGCCTCTCATGTCTCGCTGCCCATCTTTACTCCAAATCATTTCCATCCCAATATAGGACAAATTTGTGTCTGCTGTTTTAAAACCCCACCTTGGCTGTCGCTGGGTGCCCTAAGATAGCCTAACAATTAAACGAGGTTTCTGTGTATGGTGGACTCTCATCCGAATGGTGGTACTTTGTGTCACCGAGTGTTAATCGCTAGTTGTGCGGTCCTATGGAAAGGGGTAGGTGGATGTGGGGGGGGGGGGGGGGTGATTGACCCTCCTCACTCACTCACTCCAAGTTCTCACATTCTTTATGTTAGACGGGCTGCTCCAAAATTCACTCATCGTCCTATCTCTCCAGGATTTTTTAGCCCCCCCCCCCCCCCCCCCCCCCTCCAAACCACTCCGAATATCTGTGGCAAGATTCCACGTAGACACCACCCACCCCCTCCTCCAACACAAGTCCGCAACAAGAGAAACAAAAAGTATGGAGATACCTTTTGGTAAGAATGTGTTCTTAATCTATAACTAAATGCGCATATTATCACATTAGTAAGATTTTTACCGGTAGACGTACAAACAGTTCAATGACAGCAAAAATGTCCTTGTCGTTTTGTTGAATAAATGGTATCCAAATATTTTTTATTTATAATTAAACTAACACAAAATATTAGTTTAACGGATTATTACTAGTACAGATGCACTCAC